CAAGACAGCATTTCAATTGTTTTCACTTGAATTGTCAAACAAGTGAATTTCGGTAGATGGCGCCACCGTGCGATTGAGAATTATTATAAATGAGATAATCATACATTGAGAATATTGTGACGTTAAATGCGGGGGGGGGCCTTTATGGGGCTACACCGTATTCAGGATCGGGGAGCTTGTCTTTAATGCCGGTCTAATAGTCTTTGTCTTTGGTAGCGTGCTTATCTTATAAGTCTCCTCCCTCTCAGCTCGTCCGCTGTCACAGGGTGGGGATCGTTTGGTGAATGTATATCACCACAACTGAGACTGCAGAGAAAGAAATATACCAGTAACGATTATAACAAATCAACACGACACAATATATACGGTTTCCTGTACTTTAATAATAACAGGGATGCTGGTCACTGGAACCAACAAGGAGGGGAATACACTGTAAAATAAAATAAATTAGAGACTTGATCGATGCTGCAGGGAACTCTCCATTGGACAGCAATGTGCAATGTTGCGTTCCTTCGCATCTGGCACATTGGCGAAGCAGCTGCACTACAATTTAAACTCGTGCTCTGTGTCCAGGGAGTATCGGCAACTGCACTGCTATCTGCCGCTACTGGTACAACGGGAGTAGTTCAGGCAGTGAGCTTCAGTGGTTCCTGTTGATCAGCAGGGATTACTGCACAGCACGTCTGCATATGTACCCCTGTATGGGGTACAGCTCACTGGAGTCGGGAATCAGCATCACAAGATGTTACAGGATCAAGTCAGGTCACCTTCCTGACTAAAGATTTTCCACAATACACACTAATGTGAAAAGCTCCCTCAAGTGTTGACTATTTCCTTGATATTTTGTTTGATTTCCCTGCCTCTGAGGTAATAACGAATTGTTATTTGAGAAAAGTATTGCATATACTCCTACCTTAAATCAGTCACGTATTTCGTGTTGTTTTATGCAAATGATATGATATGAGAGTTGTATATAATGGTCATATTGCTGCTGATAAGTCCACGTGTCGGCAACATCTCCCAGGGTAAACACAATTCAGTGTATGGTAGTTTAACGGGGACTCGTATACAAATCGTCTATGCTTTTGATTCTAAGGCGATTATTGTAATAATCCAAGCACTAACCAAAATTTTGCCTTCAGTTACTTTCCACAAACACATATTACACTGTAAAAAGTACAGAAGAGGTGAAAGACACTCTGCTTTTTGAGCTATCTAGAATACGTGTCGGTCAATGGCTTTGTGGCCTTCGCAATGTCGGTCATGCTGCCTAAACATTTTATCTGGGGCAGATTTTATACAGGAATAGTCCATACGAGGTGCTATTCTATAGATAACATTGCCTGACTGTACATTAGGCTTGCATATTAGTAAATTGAAACCGGTTTCAATAACAATAATGCATTTACGCAACTGATACACTTGTTTAATAAATATTAATGGAATTAATTATTTATATCAATTATTGTTTCAGTTTGTGTTCACTATTTCTTTAATTTAACCCGATCAGGGGCTTAATAGTTTTACCATGTTTGCTCATTATCAGAAGATTGTAGATTATATTCCTATCATCAGACCAATGTTACATAGTTGGGCGAATTAGTTCCAGTTGGAAGGAGCATAAGAGTTGTTATCCCATATGCGATTCCCTCAACGCGTATAAACATGGTCTTTTTTTATAGCAACGAATCACGATGCTGGATTACTGTAGAATATCTAACATACTTTTTGTCTCGGGACCTGAATAGTATAGATGACCGTTCTGTTTCTCTTTTTCAGGGTTACAATATAATGCACTCACATCGCTGAAATCAACATAAAATATATGCATATGTTGATTTAATACTAAGTATATGGAGTACGAGTTTGGCTAACTAAATAGCAATCATCTGCCGAGAGAGAGAGATTTCGCCTTCTGAATAAGAACAGCGCCGATGGAGACAATTTATTTGAACTTAATTGACCATTTAATGAATCACTGTTTTCTCCAAAGTTAATTAAAAGGTTTGTAATTAATGCAAAAGTACTTCGATGATAATAATAGCATATGACAGTAAATAAAATAAATAAATAAAAGGTAACGACTCATGCTTGGGGCCTTCTGATTACAT